TATATATGGTAAAGCACCTTTTGGGAATATAGTTACATGTACCTATATTTGCCAAATATTCCAATTGTATTGACTATATAAAATAGTTAATTTCTCTTACCATCCAATATTTTCAACCTTACTATATTTTTTATTTCAAATGATTATAATTTTTGGTAAAAGTTTTACATGGGTCAGTTATACTATGCTTATATTATAAATATTACAAACATTATGCTGAAATTTACTATAAAAATAATATTCCTAGCTATAATCTTTTTACTGTGCCATTATAGTTCCAAGTATCATACATTTTTCCTTCAGTGCAGCATTTTTGTAGCTCGTTATTCACACTGAGAGAAAAATGTATGATATTTGGAACTATAATGGCACAGTAAAAAGATTATAGTTAGAAATATAATTTTTATAGTAAATGTTACCATATTATTTGTAATATTTACAATATAAGCGTAGTATAACTGACCCGTATAAAATGTTTACCAAGAATTATAATTATTTGAAATAAAAAATATAGTAAGGTAGCAAATATTGAATGGTAAGAAAAATTAACTATTTTATATAGTCAATACAACTGGAATATTTAGCAAATACAGGTACATGTAACTATATTCCCAAAGCGTGCTTTACTATACACATAATAAGATGGTGACTATAAATCTATGTTCATTCTGCTATATCTTCATGTTTAAATGAACTATAAATATATGTTTGAGGCCAAAACGAACTATAAAATATAATGAGATTATAGTTATTCCAATTATTCTTTTTCTCTCAGTGCACTCAGAGTAAAATGTATGATATTTGGAACTATAATGGCATAGTGAAAAGATTATAGTTAGAAATATAATTTTTATAATAAATTTAATGTTTGTAATATTTACAATATAAGTACAGTATAATGAACCCATGTAAAACTTTTACCAAGAATTATAATCATTTAAAATAAAAAATATAATAAGGTTGCAAATATTGAATGGTAAGGGAAATTAACTATTTTATATAGTCAATACAATTGGAATATTTGGCAAATATAGGTACATGTAACTATATTCCCAAAAGGTGCTTTACCATATATATAGAGTAATAAGATGGTGACTATAAATCTGTGTTCATTCTACTATATCTTCATATTTAGATGAACTATAAATATATGTTTGAGGCCAAAACGAACTATAAAATATAGTGAGATTATAGTTATTCCAACTATTTTTTTTTCTCAGTGCACTTGGACATTGCCTTAGAGTAAACGAAGCTGAAATAAGCTAAAGTCGAAAATTTGGAAATCTCGCCGTGAGATATTTTGATCTAGCTGGGGAAGGCAAATTCGCGGCGGTCTAAATCGGTCTGACGCGCTCGCTGGCGGGATGAATTTTCACGGAAAACCTTATCTTTCTGATTGCAGCCAGCGCCGACGTGGGCTTCGCGATTTACGACAGGTACGCGGCAGAGCAGATGGGCCCGCCGGTGTCGTACGTCGCCCACCTGACGGGCGCCCTGGCGGGCCTGACGATTGGTCTCCTGGTGCTGAAGAACTTCGAGCAACGGCTACACGAGCAGCTACTCTGGTGGGTCGCCTTGGGTGTCTATGCCGCGTGCACGATCTTCGCGGTCATGTATAACCTGATGCATCCGGACTATCCATGACGCGAGGTCAGCTTCGCGTACGGCCAACCGAGGCACACGTAACGCGAAGCTGATAGTCCCCGGAAGAAGAAGAAAAAGAAGAGAAGGACGGCAAAGAGGGAGTGGAGCAGGGATCGACGGAGGAAGCGGGGAACACCGTTGTCGAGCGCCGTCGAGGAGGATCGTCGAGTGTCGCAACAAGGTTCTAAATGGACGAGTTGTCTCGTCGACAACGCGTCCAACCGGATCGTTCTCGAGGTATTGGCACCGAAGATGAAGACGACACGAGTAGGAGGGAACGAGAGATGTGCGAAGAAGCCGGGCTCGACCGTCGTTCTTCCAGCCAGGAGAACGTGACTTCGATCGACCACCGCGCGAAGAGGACCGCGACGTGATATAGTTTCGTAGCACATATTTTCTTCCACAGGCCGGCCTGTTCGCGCACGCTTACGCGCGTCACTCGAGAGGATAAGAAAGAGAGAGAGAGAGAGAGAGAGAGAGAGAGAGAGAGAGAGAGAGAGAGAGAGAGA